GTGACCTGAGCAAAAGTCGGACACCCAACCGACTAAGCCACCCAGGCGCCCCTATTTTCTCCCTTCTAACAATCCTCAGAGCCTCCTTAATTTCTAGCTTATCAATTTCACATCTGACCTTCCACCTCAATCCCCAGCTATCTTGGCCCTTCACCCACCTCAGTTCTTTCACCCTTAGGCTCATCCAAGCTAACATGCTCACCATCCCAAGCCTTTCACCCCTTGGCCCCTGGCCCTCTGTCCTGCCTCTCACGCACTTGTCATTTGCTTCCTTCCTGCTCAGTTCCCGCTCAGAACTGCCTCCAACAGGAAGCCCTCCTTGGTTTACCTCAGCCCTACCGAACAACCCTGTCATCTTTTCCAGTTCCCAGGTTTTTAGTGCAGAATCCACGGGGTGTTCATTGGCACCATTTTCACATGCGTGCTGCACGGGAAGGGCTGTTTGTCACGCCATGTCTTTTAAAGAGGACCTGCTCACGCAGATGGCAATCAGCGTCACAGCTTCCTCCCAGAATGACGGCACAGCTGCGGCACCAAGTCTGTGGAAATACACGGCGGGCCCGGCTCACTGCTCATGCCCATGCCTTCAGATCAGCCTCACTCCCTCTCTTGTGCCAGGCCTGTCCCACCGCAGGTGCATCCCTATGTGGGGACCCAGGTCTCCTCCCCCGCCCCCCCCCCTCAGCTCCTGCCCTGCGACCTCACACGCAGCATCCAGAATGACACCAGGCTGGGGAGTGGTGAGTGGCCGGAAGAGAATTACTGCCCAAGTTGGAAGACAGAGAAGGAGCTCTGAAACCCAAGTCGTGAAACCAGGCTGTGGACATGGCTCTGCCTTGTGATCTGGACCACTCGCCTCAGGTTCTCCTCATTCAAGTAGGGATAAAGATCCTTCCCCACGTGAAAGGAGGATGGAGAAAGTCAAATGTGGAAATGCTCTGAAAGGGACAGAACACAATATAAATATCGGAGTCTCTGCTATAATAACAATCATGAACAATAAATTGTTATCATCGTTACCATAAGCATGTGGCATTCCCCAGTGCCCCCTATTTTGAAAGGGTCCTCTTGCTGAGCCCCCGCTTGCTCTCCTTCCCCTGGCCGGGGGAGGGGCGGGGATGCCCAGTTGGATGAGTGCCCCTCGGGATCAGCAGCTCATTATCCACGACAGGTTCCCCAAGCGGCAACGTCACCTCCAGCCCCTGGCCTCTCCGCTCCGCTCTGGAGCTGCCTTGGCAGCAGGAACAAGAGCGTGCCTTGTCAGACAAGCCCTGCATCTCCATAGAACATGCTCCAAGCATAATTACCCATCGGAGAAGTGCGCAGGCCCCGCCCTTATCACAGAGCTGCCGCCACCACTGGATTCCTGCTGCTGCGGCAGCTGAAGGCTGAGCTGCCCTGGACCTATGAAGCTGAAACCGCTCTCCAGCTAAGCAGGGCCAGGTAGAGCCAAGCCGCAGGAGGCTCCCCGGGCTCTGGCTATGGGTAGCTGGGAAGCCTCCAGTGGCCCAAACAAACGCTGAGTCTGGCTTCACCACTCCCCAAGTTAGCCCCACCCGCCCATCTTGAGGCTCCCTCTGGATGGGTGATGTGTCCACCCTAGGCTCCCTGTATCCTGCCTGTGGCCCCTCTGCCCTGGCCCCTGACCACCCTCCTTGGTCTTCCCACCCTCCCCAATTCCACCGCTCTCAGGAACTAAAGGGTCACCTGCAGTGCTTGAAGATGCAGACAGGCAGTTAGAGTGAGTTCCATTCCCCAGAGCCAGGTGCAGCGTCGGGCAAGAGAGGTGCGGTCCCCCTCTTACCCACCTCTCCACCCACAAGCCTTCCCCAGGGAAGCCACTCCCAGATAATCCTCTGGGAAGATGTGCCGTTCCTGCCTCCCCCACACCCACCAGGCTGCTATACTTCATACCATGAACATCATTTCTCCCACTGTCTGGGTATTCCATCCCTAAGGGAAATGACCCAAACCCCTGGGCCCAGCAGAGGTCTGCATTCTCCACCTGCCTGTCTCTAGACAGTGACCATTTCTTAAAGAGATGCGGAAAATGAACCCTGAGTTGGGCACTTGACTCTTTTAATTCGTCCCTCTGAGAGGGGCATAGGTTTGAGGGTGGAAGAGAAGCAGAGGATGCCTGGGGGTCCCTGGGATGCAGCCCCCCCCCCCCAGCTAGGCTGTCAGAAGGACCAGGGATACCTACGGTACTTGCTGTTTATCCTGCAATGAGTTCCACCCTGTGGGAGCACAGGCTCTGAAGGAGGCTGATTCTGCACTTGTCCTAATCTATGGAACCCCCTCTCATTCTCCATGTACCTCCTCACGTCCCACCCTCTGCTAGATAGAGCCCCAGGGCAGGGCCTGCATGGATCATGCTCTCTTCTCTCAAGCCAGGTGTGGGTTCCTCCAAGAAGCACCAAGCCTGTTCTGGGACCCTAGATCCCCGTTCCCCAGGAATACCCTGCCTAGTGCCATCTCAGGACTTCTGCGGGATTACATCTCAAATCTAACCCCACACTAAGACCCAAGCCAAATCCTTCCATCTAGGATTCTAAAGCATCCACAGCATCCCTAGCTCTGAATCCTGAGTCCTGAGTCTTATCCCAGCCTTTCCCCACTTGAACTCCACTACTGCCGTAGTGACAGTTCTGTGGGTAGGATGCATTGAGACAAATGGGGCTATGATTAGCCAGCCATCAATATCTCTTAAAGGCCCATTCTCTCAAGAGCTGGCAGGTCCCTCCAGTGCCCTGCCTCCCTGAGCCAAGTAGAGACTCCCCAGGGCAGCTCTCGCCCCCCTCTTTCTTTCTCCTTCCCTTCCTGCTCTGGCCATATCAGCCAGATGGATTATGTCTTATTTCTTTTGGATTTGGCTGCAGGAACCAAACAGCATTTAAGGCTATTGATTGTTCAAAAGGCCAAGTGTATAATGTACCAGAAAATTAGTTTGGAGTGCCCAGCAGGAGAGCAGCTCCACTCTGGCCTCAGATTTACTCTGTTCTCGTGGGCCAGAAGGGACATGGGGTGGGGGGCAATGTACTTTTCAGTGTCTCCAGGAAGTTCTAGGATGTCAGCCTCTCCTCGTGGCCAAGCTGGGGCCTTCTCACCACCTAGTTTACCCAGGTGAGCTACGTTATAGCAATATCCCTCCTTCACTTCAACCCCCACCCATTCATTCCCACTGAACACACACGCGCACAGAATACGCTCACATTAAGCATATAATGTTTTATAAATGCCTACACATATGCATGTACATGAGATAGGCCATGCTTACTAACAAGGCATGTCACACACACTCTCACCTATGCGCATATGAGACTGTCTGCGAGTCCAAATAAAAGGTTTTCCCTTTGTCTAAAGAATCTGGTGCTTAGAAGAATACCTGGTACAATATAGGTGGTTACTGACCTTCACTGATCTCAGCTAAATGGAGGCAGAACCATGGACAGTTCCCCAGCCCGCTGCGCGCCTGCTCTGTGCTCAGTTCACCTGACCCAAAACAGCCCCAGCTCACATCCAACCAGAGTCACTATTGGTAATCACAATAATGGCTTTCATTTCTGAGCATCTGTTATGTACCAGTCACAAAACAAGCTCCTTGTATGAATCATCTCATTTGGTCCTCACGATCTCCCAGGATGTAGTTATTATTACTGCACAGATGACAAAACTGAGGCTGACAGAGGTGGAGTAATTCTCCAAAGTTTTCATTGATCTTATCTGAAATAACAAAGGTAAGGGTACAACTTCAGGGGGCCCTGTTAAAGTATACAATCTTGGGATGCCTGGGTGGCTCAGTTGTTTAAGCACCTGACTTGATTTCAGCTCAGGTCACAATCTCATTGTTCATGAGATGGAGCCCCATGCCAGGCTCTGGGCTAACAGCACAGAGTCGGCGTGGGATTCTGTTTCCCTTTCTCTCTGCCCCTCCCCTACTCATGTTCATTCTCTCTCCCTCTCTCTCTCTCTCTCTCAAAATAAACATTTAAAAAATTAATAAAATGCACAATCTTCATATGACAATAACTTCACCAGACAGGTTTTCCCTGAAAGCAGGAGAGACTGACATGTATCAGCCCATAGCAGCAACTCCTCAATGTCAGCCCGTCACATACGTATTTCTCATCACCACCTCAGCCAGTCCCAGCCGGCTTAATGCAGACAGGAAGTATATGCTGGGTTGTTCAGCAAAAAGTGACGATATGCCTGAAGCCTGAGAATCAAGCCCAGTCAGGGCCAAAGTCACGGAAATCTTGCAAAGACGACACTTGAGAGGCTCAAAGAAGTGTACGGAAGTGAGATGATGTCCAAGACAATGGTATCTCACAGGCTCCAGGTAACTCACATTGACACAAGCAACTGTCCAGCCCCTCTCCTGCCCCCCTGAAGCCCTCCCTGAAAATACTGAGAAAGGTAGAAGATATAGTTCATTGAAAAAGATACTTAACTGAGAATGATGGCTGAATTGTCTAGCTAAGGCAAAGAAACAGACTCTTGTAAACACACACACACACACACACACACACACACATACAGGATACTGCTTCGTAACAGATTGAGCCACACTCTTGTCATGGACAGAAAAGAAATCATCTCTATTTATTGTGTCTTCAGATAAAGTCCAACTAAGCAACACCTTTGGCAAGAAAATGATCATCGATTGCCACTGATGCCCCAGCTGACCCAGGATCAGAGAGTCAATGTCTCTGCCAAGGGGAACTCCAACTCCCCAGGCCCACGAAGTAGCTCAAAATCATGAGGAAAGGTCATGGGCCACCTGGTTTTGAGCATCAGTGCCCACCTTTCCCTCACCCCTTCCCCATCAAAGTGCCACTCAAGCTTTATTTCACAGGTCAAGTTTCTGAGACATTCAAGAAAGCTTCCGTACAGCACATAAGCTGGGACCTGTGGAACAGTGAATGTCTACACTGCATGTCCCTGAGAAATGTTTCAAAAGGTAGTGAGCCAAAATAGAATCACCTATTTTGGTGCCTTACCTTATATTTCAGGTTTGAATCCAAATGACTTCAGGGTATTTCCAAAGATACAGTTCACCCTAAAAAAAAGATAAAATATTCACCAATAGTCAAGACCAAATGCCACAGGGGGTTTCCAAAGGTGCTGACAACATGACATGAGCGGCATATGTATCAAACTTTCTAAGCAGGCTACACTGAAGGAACCACACATACTTGGACATGGAAACTCTGATGTGTGAGAGAACTTAGTCTAATTTTTTTTTTGTCATGTCAGCAGCTAGCCACTAGCCGTGGATCCAAGATCTTTTTTTTCTTTCCTTTTTTAAGTTTGTTTATTTGTTTATTTATTTATTTAGACACAGAGAGAGACAGAGAGAGCAAGAGAGAGAACGAGAGTGCACAGGAGCAGGGGAGATGCAGAGAGAGAAAGGAGACAAGAGACTCTCAAGCAGGATCCACACTGTCAGCACAGAGCCCAAAGTAGGGCTCAAATTCACACAAGTGGTGAATCCTACCTGGAGTCAGGACACCTGGGTTCAGTTCTGGATTTACCTTTGTGGTGCCTGTGTAGCCAAAGACCTGAATCCCTTTGAGATTCAGTTTTTCTGTTTTTGTTTTTATTTATTTATTTTTTTTTAGTGGTTATTTTTGAGAGAGACATAGACAGAGTTGAACAGGGGAGGGGCAGGGAGAGGGAGACACAGAATCTGAAGCAGGGTATGCTGACAGCTCAGAGCCTGATGTGGGGCTCAAACTCATGAACCATGAGATCATGACCTGAGCCAAAGTTGGACGATTAACTGACCGAGCCACCCAGGTGCCCCTCAGTTTTTGTTTTTTGTTTTGTTTTGTTTTCATTTCCAAAATGGTACCAGTCATGCCCACCTGTTGGTAGGATTGCAATTCTGGGCAAATGAGATAGAAGACCTAGCACAGTGCTTGGTACACAGTATGAACTTAATGAAAGCTAGGCAGTGCTTTTGGAGGAAGGGGTCAGGCAGCCACAGATCCTGATAAAGGCCTGGGAGTTGTCCTGAGAGAACAAGGATGACCATGGGAGTTAAGGAAATAGAAGAGGCACAAATGCGGGAGAGATGGGCATGACCCTAAGAGACACTTAACCTACAGAGATATGTTATCTAAGGATGGGTTTTACTCTAGGGATACAGAAAGATTTCAACGGGTATCAAAATTAATCTAGGACTTGAACTCAGAAGGAGAGAAAAGGCAAAGTGCTCTTAGAAAGAAAGATACTCTTCATTACACTAGTGAAGGGTTCAAAACTGGCTCCCACTACAGTGAAAGAGGGAAGTCAGACAAGAGGAAGAACTCCCACCAAGATCTACAAGCCCTTCAACAGACTGCTGGGAGAGGCCCTACCTGACAATTGTCCAGAGACAGGGGAATGGGTCAGGTAGACTGAGGAAGTCCAGATTCTTCTACCTCTGAGGTTCAGCCAGTTAAAGTCTCTCTCAAGAGCAGCCCTCCAACATGGAGAGGGGCCCCTGCGAAGCCCTGGGAAAGCACCAGTGTGGAAACTTAGCAGTAAGCAGCAATGCTAATGAGTGCCAAGAATAGCAGTGGCTTCTTAATGGAGCCCTTAATGAAGACTCATTTTGGGTTTTATTAAAGTTAAAAAAAAAAAAAAAAAAAAGCACACATTCTCTCCCCAGCTCTCAGAGAGCTGGGCAGAATCAAGAGCAGCCCCAAACACGGGGTCAATATCATTCCCTGCTTGCGATACCATATAATAGGCTCTAGAAAGTAGAGTAGGAAGGGCAAGTTCAGAGGCCTGAAACCTTCCTTTGCCCTGTGGACAACCCACTTGGATCCCTGGATCCCACATAAGCAGATTTCCTGCAGAGCTTAGCTCTGCCATTTACAGACAAGCTGCAAATACGAACACAAAGAAGGCCCATCCCCAAGGTGGTGGCAACGATTTTAACAGGCAGATACATCCCATTAAATGTTTAACTAGAATACAATCCCATCAAAGCTCTTCTATAAAAGACTAAAGGGGTGCCCAGGTGGCTCAGGGGGTTAAATATCCAACTCTTGATTTCTGCTCAGGTCATGATCTCATGGTTCATGAGATCGAGCCCTCCATTGGGCTCTGTGCTGAAAGCATGGAGCCTGCTTGGGATTCTCCCTCTCTGCCCCGCCCCCCCCAAGTAAATAAATAAACATTTTAAAAAAGAGACTAAAAACCACAACCCTCTAGGACGTACCCAATGTTGGCCACTATTACCAAGTATCAGTATATGTACCAATATACAGTCTCTGTTGGCTTCAAATAACAGCAGGAGGGATTCAGATTAGATATAGAAATTCAGAACTTTCAAATTTGCAGATGACCTTGAAGTTCATCTAATAAAATCCCCTGTTTTATGAGGAAACTGGAGCCCAGAGAAATTGGAAATTCATTTAAAAAAAATCAAACCGCCAGTTGTGTCCGAGCCATAGTCCAGGACACCCATGACAGTGCTTCCCGTGATGCCAGTGTCTACCCTGATGGCCTCCTTTCCCAGGGTTATGCAACTTTGCTGAGTAACCATCCCAGGGACTGGGCTGGCATGAGCAAGATGGTATCGGGGGAGAGGGGGCGCATCTGGGCTGGGATCTTGAGGTGTCTCTAATGCCCAAGAACTAGCCCAGGATGCATCTCAGGGACTGCTCTACTCAACCATTAGACACCTAAAAGCTCTTTGTTGATGAAATAGGAGATCCACATTTTGTAGATCATTCACCCCCTAACCTCAAAGAGGAACCTCAACAGAAGGATGAAAATCACCCCTAAATAGCTCCACTGTCATCCCAGCCACACCTGTAACCACTCTGTCAATAGTGAATGCACAATGACCAAGTTCATAAGACGAATGTCCTGAGAGACTATTAAGAGGCGGGGGACTTCCCTCCCCCCAGCCCCAGACTCTAAACCCTCCAAGGAGGGGACTTCCTCTGCTTGGCACTGGGAAAGTCAGGGAGCAAGCAGTCTCTGCCTGGGATGACTCAACCTGATGGGAAGCAGCCCATCCCCGAGCCCCACCAACAACAGTGTGGTTACTGAGTGACAGCTGTGTGCCCACACCGTACTGGGCACTTAACCCAAGTTATTTCTAACCTAATTTTCACAGAACCTTTGTAAGGTAAGTATTATTTTGCATCTTTTAACAGAAAAAGGAGTATGAGACACAAATGAAATAAGATACAAATGCCTTCAATTCAATAGCTGCAAACTGAACACCTCAATGTCTAGGGGACCCCGAGCATATTGTGACAGTCATTGCAGGGAGCGAACTATGGAAGGTCTCGCAGAAAAGGTTCCCTGGGACTTTCAAGAAAGGTGAGGGGTAGCTGAGAGGACCTCATTAATAGGTGGCAGACCTATCGGAAAAGAAGCTGACATTAATTCATTTTAAACGTTTGAGAGAGGCGAGGAGAGGCAGAGAGAGGGGGTACAGAGGATTCGAAGTGGGCTCTGTGCTGACAGCAGACAGCCTGACACAGGGCTCAAACTAACAAACCATGAGATCATGACCTGAGCTGAAGTTGGATGCTGAACTGACTGAGCCACACAGGCGCCCCCAAGAAGCTGATGTTGATCAAGCAACTGCTCTGTCTGTGTGCAGAGCTCTAAGCCCTGATGCTCACTACAGTCTCCTCTAATTCTCACAACCACCTTCTGAGATCAGTGTGATGATCCTAAAGAGACTCAGAATCAGAGAGGGCAAGTGACTTTCCCAAGGCCTCCTGAGCCCACTCAGGCAACTCCTCATTCTCCTCCCCTGAAGTCACTCCGCCTCCTCAGGCCCGAAACCGAGAGCTTTCTCCTCTCAGAGCCTTTACTATACACTGGTCCCTTCTCAGTGAGGCCTTCTGTCTTCCCAGGCACCTACCTAAATCCACCCACCCTTCCAGGGCCATCCAGAGAGCCCCCTCTCTGAGCCTGGTGCTCCAATAGGATGCTCGCCCCCTCCCCCCACACCTCCCTGGGATCCTGTCCCTCCCCCATTGCTGGGCTGCACTCAGCCTCCTCAGCACAGATCTTGGCTCCTTGCCAATTAACAGGGCCTTGGGAAGCACCCGTAGCTAACCAATCCCGAAGGAAAGCCTGTCCTTTCCCCCTCTTCCCCCTCTGCCCCCACGCCAGAGACTGGGTCTGCAGAAGCTATAAACACAGGACAGCTGACACAGGTCGAACTTGAGTAATGTCCTTGGCGGGAGGCAAGGGACTGGTCCCAAAGACTTCACTCCTCTGATAAAAGGAAGATTTTTTTTTTTTTTTTGCCCTTCACCTCTCAGTTGTAAAGCTCTTAAAAAGGGACCTCACCTCTTATTAGCTCCCTCCTTCTTCCTGCCAATTCAAAGGAAATATCTGCCTCTTCTGGAGCTCCCTCCCCTCAGGCTTGCCTGCCCCTCCCCACCTCCCCTCCCCTCCCACCCCAGCCCTGTAGCAGGGAATGTAATTAGGCCTTTCACCAGGACGGCACCCCCTCCAAGCAGTTGGACTGCCCGTCCAATGGGGGATAATTTATGGAAATGGGTAAAGGTGTTCTAAATTATTCAATTTAAATGTAAATAGGGGAGATGGTTTCTCTGAATAAATTGTCTTATTTATGTTCCGCCCGACTCCCCTCCCAGGGAAATATGGAGCAGTTTGGAGCCCTCTGGAGCACAGGGCCCTCCACTTCTCTGTAAGTAATATGGAACCAGCCCATGTCCCTGGGGGGTGATGATGTGGAGACAAATGCCCCGACAGCCTCTGTCCTAGCTGGGGTCACAAGACATGCCAAGTGCTCCCCCACCTGGACCCTGGCTCTTCTATACCACCCCCCCCCCAGGAGAACCACTCTGGGGGAGCCACGGAATGGGGTAGAATGTGACTCCTTAATCTTTGTTTGCTTGTGGACTGACAATAGATCAGGGGGCTCTGGTCACCTCCCCACCTGCCCAAGGTCTCTTTCCATTTGAGTCCCAAGCAGTGGGAGGCTTGGCACCTCCCTGACAAAGTCCTTCATGTTCTGGACCCTTTGGGCTGAGTTGGACCATGGGGCCATCAACTAATCTTGGAGCCCTT